AATCATACAACAGAACTCAGCAAGATAAAATGAGTAACCAACAACTTGGATAAATTGCAAAAAACCATTATGCTGGGCCAAAGAAGCCAGACACAGTAGAGTCCATACCATCTGAGCTCATTTATGTGAAGTTCAAAAGCAAGCAAAACGCATGTATAGGGGCCAGTCAAAACAGTGTGGATAGAATAGTAGCTTCTTTCTGGAGAAGAGCATGAGAGAACTTTCTGGGGTGATGGAAATACTCTATATCTTCATCTGGGTAGTGGTTACATAGATACATTTTTATGTAAAATGTTCTTTTAGGCTGCACATTTTCACATTTTATTGTTACACACAAAAACCCATTATGTACCTACCAGAATGGTTCATAAAATATAACAGATTGGTTTATATCTAAGCCTTGACAAAGAGGTGGATAAGCAGGAATTTTCACACATTGTTGGTAGGAATCTAAACTAGTGCCACCTTGAAAAATAGCCTGGCATTGCTAAGTAAAACTGAAGATATAAAAAAAAGTTCATAGCAGCAGTATTCATAATTGCTGTACAATGGAGACAAACATCCATCAGAAAGAGAGTGAAGGCTGGGCATGGTGGCTCACATCTAATCCCTGCACTTCGGGAGGCCAAGGCAGGTGTATCACCTGAGGTCAGGAGTTTGAGATCTGCCTGGCCAACACGGTGAAACCCCATCTCTATTAAAAATACAATAATTAGTGGGACATGGTAGTGCTCACTTGTAGTCCCAGCTACTCAGGAGGCTGAGGCAGGAGAATCGCTTCAACCTGGGAGGTGGAAGCTGCAGTGAGCTGAGATCGAGCCACTGCACTCCAGCCTGGGTGAAAAGAGTGAAACTCAGTCTCCAAAAAAAAAAAAGGAGTGGGAGACGGAATGAATACAACAACTGTGTTAGATTCATAGTAGAGTATTATTCAGCAATATCTAATGAACAAACTACAGCTCCATCAAACACAGGTGAATCTCACAAAATGACACTGAGTGAAAGCAGCCAAGTGAAGGAAACAAACTAAATGGTTCCATTTATATAAAGTTCGAAGAGCAGGGAAAACTAAACTACCAAGTTTGGGTGTGATCTCAGAAAATTAAAAAAATTATTTTCATGGAAGCAGGAGAGAGGTAACATTTTTGAGAAGGAAGAGGCATATAGCTGATTAGGGCTGTTGGGAACATGGGCATTGGCCTATTTAATAACCTGAATATTGGTTACAGGGTTATGCTTTGTTGATTTACAACAAAAAAATGCACCACTCAACGATTTTTCTGTGTGTATTTTTTTGGGGGGGGCGGGGGATGGAGTCTCACTGTGTCACCCAGGCTGGAGTGCAGTGGCACGATCACGGCTCACTGCAACCTCACCTCCCGGATTCCAGCGAGTCAACTGCCTCAGCCTCCTGAGTAGTTGGGACTACAGGTGTGCACTACCTAGCCTGGCTAATTTTTGTATTTTTAGTAGAGATGGGGTTTCACCATATTGGTCAGGCTGATCTCAAACTCCTGACCTCATGATCTGCCCACCTTGGCCTCCCGAAGTGCTGGAATCACAGGTGAGAGCCACTGTGCCCAGCGCTGTGTGTATGTTACAGTTTACAATAGAAGAAGGTTAAAAACAATCAATGGGACCTGGTGATTGATTGGATTTGGTAGGGGGCAGGGAAGAGAGAGAAAGAATCATGGAAATGTCCCAGGTTTGTGATTTGCACAATTGCTTGGGTGGTGATGCCTTTCTTTTCTTTTTGTTTGGAGTTGGAGTCTTGCTCTGTCACCCAGGCTGGAGTGCAATGGCACAATCTCTGCTCACTGAACCTTTGCTCATGGATTCATATAATTATCTTGTCTCAGCCTCCCAAGTAGCTGGGATTATAGGCACCCACCACCACACCCAGCTCATTTTTTGTGCCTTTTTTTTTTTTTTTTTTTTTTTTTAAAGTAGAGATGGTTTCACCATGATGACCGGGCTAGTCTTGAACTGCTGACCTCAGGCAATCCACCTGCCTCAGCCTCCCAAAGTGCTGGGATTACAGGCATGAGCCACCATGCCCAGCCAGTGATGCCTTTCAAGATAGCAAACAGCATTTTCAGAGGAAGAATATGAAATATATCTTGGACATGCTGAATTTAGAATACTTTTGAGACATCCAAGTAGAAATGTGCAGTAGGCAATTAGGTATTAGCAGATGGAGCTCTCAAGAGCAGGGCTTGGGGTAAAGATGAAAATGTTGGATTCGCCCATGACTGAGGCCATGGACATGGCTGTGACTATTTAGGGAAAGAAGAATGACAGAAGGGCCTAGGGCTGATTGGTGGAACATCAACATTTAATGGCCAAATATAGGAGAATAAGCTAGGAAAAAAAAATTGAAAGTGGTAGGAGGAAAATGAAGAACATGTCATGAACCATTATGCAAGAGGAAAGAGCGTCTCAAGAGTAAGAAGTCACTCGCTGGAGGCTGATGCACAGCTGGGGGTGACATGGATTATGTGCAATTCTCAGCAAGTCAATTTTTACTCTACTTCTTTCTGGCTGACTTGACACAAGCAGCAAACCAACAGAAAACCAATGCTTCTGAGAATGGCTGCAAGTTTTTATGTGCTCTCTTTTGAAGTGAGAAATCAAGCCTGAGCTCTTCTTTCTCCTAATTCTCAGGAAGGAGAAAGGCAGACGTGAGAATACTGACTGGGTCTGTGTGTCACTGGGCAGCATCACTGTTAACAGGTCAGCGCACAGATGTGAGCTCACTTTTCTCCTTCTTCCATGTGACTGAAGTGGCTGAGAAAGTTGTCACTCCCTCCTGTACCCCGCACTGTCGGGGACAGCCAGGGCCAAACCTACTGCTTGAGCAGAAGAGGCCAGGGCAGGTGTCCAAGCCGGATCAGCAGTCAGCCGGGGCAAATGGGCTCGCTCTGGTTACATGACCCAAGGCAACCGACAGAAAGGAGTGAAACGTGGGGAGGATCTATGTGTGTTTGAGAACTGGGGAGATGAAAAGGGTTCAACTCATGGCCTGCTTTAGTTTGAAACAATTTAAGCTTAACTAGATTCCAAAATACCAACATTTCCACATGAACCAGCTGGACTCATTCCAGTCTTCTACCCTGGACTTTGCTACCCAAGTCCTAGTTAAGAATAAAATGCACAGTCCTTTTGTCTTCCATTTGTTAGTGCAAATATTTAATACCAATCTTTCTCCCAGGGACCCTATAGACTTGAAAACAGTGGCTATCGATTGGAGATGACTCTGATATTCCAGGGATCCCTGACAGAATATTATGAAATTACCGTAATTTCTCAATTTCTAACACCACACACACAAACTGCATCACATACACACACACACACGGGGGTGGGGTGGGGTGGGGAGGCTTACCTACCTCTCAGAAAATTGCACAGATTCAACAAGAATAAATATTGATTAATGTGTTCCTTAATGACTGGTGAATAATAATGTTAAGTAAAACAGAAACAAGTTTTATTTTTAAACCCGCTACTGCCCCCCACCACATTTTAAAATCACAAAGTCTAAACTGACAGAACAGAAAATTAATATGGTCCTTTGGGAGGGAAATCTGGTGATACATATTAGAAACCAATCCTGTTATTTGTTGCTTTTTTAAAAAAATGACAAAAATAATGATAAAACGCTGTTTCATAAATCGTACATTCTTATAATGAATGCTATGTAAACACTTTAAAAATTAGATACTTGTGTGAGAACTAACTTTGAAGGAGATACAAAGCACTTAGAAATTATTCTATTGAATGATAGTATTTGCGGAACACCTATGTACTAGGGCTGTGCTGGCTGAATGTACACCTGCTGGTTAGTTTTCATAATAACCTTACAAGGGAGGTGGCATACTAAACTCATTTAACAAATAAAATGGAAACAGAGGCTTAAGTTTATTGTCTAGTATCACTGAGGGAGGACCTAGCAGAATCAGGATTTAAAACGACGAAACCTTGATTTCAGAACCTATACTTCCACTCACTGTGCCAGTGTGTCATAAAGTACACATACTTTTGAATAAGTTATTTCATATGCATCAATGTTTCTTAATATACAGCAATGTGCATGAAACATCAACATTATGTATTCATCTAATATACATCGGTGTATGAGTTCACAGCTCTTACCACTAAGGATTTTTGGGGTTTTTTTTTTAGTGAATTTTAAGGAAACTGTTACGAATTAACAGTACAGAAGATAAAAATGTATAGCAAAAGTAACAAGGAGGCACTTCAGTGACTGAAAGTTTGGAGAAGAAAACTCTCACCTTCTCAAAAGGCACTTTTTTCTTTATAAGCTACAATACTGTATGAAATTTTCACAACAATTACATATTACCTCAAAGAGTTTTTTCAAAAAAATAAAACAACTCCTCCTGAAACATTTTTCAAACAAAGCAAGAGTAAAAGCACTACCTTAACGTGTACTTTCAGAAACTGGAAACATCATATCTAACATAAGAGTTAAATACAGTTATCAACTTGATTAGTCCTTAATCATTATATTAATAAGAAAAAGATCCTACCATACTACCATACTACCAATTGTTACAAGAGCCTGAGTATACATATACCACATATCATGATAAAGTCTCTTTAGACCCAAAATTAAAGGTGAAAAGAGAAATAAAAACAAGGAGAGACATGAGGCTTTTTCTTCAACTAATTTACTCTAATACTGTTTTTGTAATACATGTGTTTAGATCAAAACAATGCTACAATGAGCATTTAGGTTAAAACCGTTATCAGAGAGGCAACTCCAGAATAGACACATACAGTATGCTCCTTGATGGAAAGACCTGCTAGTGAGAACTGACTCTTTCCCATATTCATCTATAAATTTAGCACAACTCTAATCAAAATCTCAATGGAATTTGTCTTAAAACTCAACAAAATGATTCTAAAATTCACCGGAAACAGTAAATTCACCAGAATAGCTAAGAAAAATAGAAAAATAAGCATATTTGTCCTATCAGATATCAAACTTCCGTAAGAAGCCACAAGAAAGAAGATTCCAAGATGGTCAAGCTCCAAGGGAGAGAGACAGATGCAGAAATCGAGTGGTCTCCACAATTCCAAACGAGGTACAAGGTTCATTTTGTGGGTCTGGTTGGACAGTGGGTATAAACCAAATAAGGCAAGTTGAGGCAAGGCAGGGTACTGCCCCACACAGGAGGAGGTGCATGCAACCCACAGGAGGACAGGAAGATCTCCCCCTCTGGGACTTCGGTTCGGATACAGTGCTCCACCCAAGCCCTCTACAACCCACAGAACAGGAGATCTTTGCTGGGCTGAAAAGCCTCAGCAAGCTGCCTGAACAGGGCAGAGCAGCAACTTTGCCAGCGCAGGAGCTATCAGCAGAGGGTAGGGGAACTAAAAACAGAGAAACAGCCCATGCAGCAGGATGGGTCCACCCCCCACCCCAACAAAGCCCAGCAGACTGAAAAAAACTCATGGCAGTTTCGCACCTAGGAAGCAACCTGGAATGATCCAGCTTGGTGGGTGGGGGAGGGGAGGGGCAGCCACCATTGCAGAACCCGGCCTAACATTCCTGAGTAAATAAAAGACACAGCACCTTCACTGAACCCATAGCAGCCCAGCAGTGCCTCTGCAGGCAGACAAAGGACTCCTGACCTCAGGTGACCCACCTGCCTCAAGTACACAGGGAGGTGCCAAGTACGCTCACCCAAATTCCTCCAACGTTGTTACTTACGTGACTGTAGTACACTGTCACCATCAGGAAACTGACCTTGGTATAATCCCAAGTTTATTCACGGTTAACCAGTTTTGTATGCAAAATGGGACTTGAGAATGCTAGGATTTGTATGCAGTATGTATGTGTGTGTGGTTGTATGAAATTTTATCACATTTGTAGCTTTGTATAATCACACCTGAGATAGAGAACTGTTCCATCCCTACACAGCTCCCTCATGCTACCACTTTTAACCACACTACCCCTCGCCTCCCATTTCTAACTCATAGCAACCACTAAATCTCTTCTCCATCTCTGCAGTTTTATTTCAATAATGTTACATAAATGCAATCATACAGTATGTAACCTTTAACTCTCAAGTGTGTGTATGTGACAAAATCTTGCTCTGTCACCCAGGCTGGTGTGCAGTGGTGCACTCTCAGCTCACTGCAATCTCCACCTCTCGGGTTCCAGTAATTCTCCTGCCTCAGCGCCTCGAGTAGCTGGGATTACAGGCATGCACCGCCATGCCTGGCCAACTTTTGTATTTTTTGTAGAGACACAGTTTTGCCACATTGGTCAGGCTGCTCTTGAACTCCTGACCTCAGGCAATCCACCCACCTTGGCCTCACAAAGTGCTGGGATTACAGACGTGAGCCACCATGCCCAGACTTCACTCAGTATAACTCCGTTGAGAGGACCTGGTGGTACAAATCAGTTGTCTTAATATATTAAAATTTAGCATGATATGCACTTGAGTGTATATCAACATTTATAATACTTTAAAGTTTAAAACATTAAAATGTGCATCAAAGGTGTACGAAATCCCTGTTTCACTGACACAGAACAAGCATTCTGAGATAAAAATTTTGAAAACGGGTAATCTAATACAAATCTAGTACAATTCATTACAGGTTGAGTATTCCTTATCTGAATGCTTTGGAGCAGAAATACTTAAGATTTGGAATTTTTTCAGATTTGGGAATATGTGCATTATATACCAGTTGAGCATCCCAAATCTGAAAGTGCAAAACCCAAAATGTTCCAAAATCTCAAAACTCTGAGTGCCAATATGACACTCAAAGGAAATGCTCAGCGGAGCATTTCAGAGTTTGGATTTTCAGATTAGGGATTCTCAGCCTGCACAAGCACTTCATAGAAGAAAGGCCCAGGGCTCGGTGCTATGTCTCGTCAGTGTTTACAACGGTACACGGTTTACAGAACGCCTGGTGTTGCACTTTCTATGGCCAAGCTCTGGATTCTGGTTCTTTCCCAACCCAGCTGAGAATGTTACATTCAAATATGACCACGTGCTCTTCTTCTCAAGTGACCTCACTTTGCTACTCTTTCAACTTCTTCTAATGATCGAGGAAATGAACTCCTCTTAAATTTCCAGATCTGTCTGGTGCTTTAGCACCACACCTCAGGTCCAATTCTCCCGTCTCTATGTGCAGCGCGTCCACATAACAAGGCCTCCCTCAGAAAGAGCTACCCCAACCTAGGACAGATTCAAACACAGGCTTCTCCCTCTCCCTCCCTCCAGGTAGCTAGATTCCCTATCTCATTCCTCCCCAGGCTAACCTGCTAAGTCTTCCGATAGCTCACTCCCACTGTCTATCTGTTAGCTAACTGGGTGTGACAAACCAAGTCCTCACACCTTCAGGTTTACAAGAAAAACACTCCAGGAATTTATTTCTCGAATACTAATACCTTCACAGTAATTTCCTTGCCTTTCCAAAGAGTGCTCTAAACAGGTAAAAGCTATAATACAAACTCTGTATCTTTTTGTCATACAGATACCAAAAATAGCAGCATTTTTTTTTTTGGTAATTTAAAAAATCTGGTTGATGTGATTATCACTCTAAGTAGAATCTGAAGTATTGGTAAAAGGCTGGTTGTGGTGGCTTACACCTGTAATCCTAGCACTTTGCGAGGCCAACGTGGGAGGATCGCTTGAGGCCAGGAGTTTGAGACCAGCCCAGGCAACAAAGTGAGACCTTGTCACTACAAAAAAGAGAAAAAATGAGCCAGGCATGGTGGGGTGTGCACCTGTAGACCCAGCTACTTGGGAAGCTGAGGTGGGGGATCACTTCATGCGGGGAAGCTGAGGCGGCAGTGAGCCATGACTGCACCACTTGCTTGTGTCTGGGGTCTGGGCAGTTCTCCTTCCTTGGTGCCCATGTGGGTGTTACCCACATACGTGTTTCAGAAAAAAAAATCTAAAACTGGTAATAATTCTGCTTAAATTCCATATTAACCTCAGATCAAACGTTATTTTTAGTTCTTGCTTGTTAAATACTTGAAATGTGCTGCTGCCTGTTTTCCTTATTTATTAAATCAACTAACTTCAGGTGGAAGGTACTTAAGAGTTTAAAAGTTTCCCAAAGTGGAAATAACAAACGTTTTGCATCAAAGACACTCTGTTTTTTTTCAAAGGGTATCTGAGAGGCTAATCAGTCTATTATCTTGGTTTGGAATAACCACTAACAACAAATGTGAGCTTTTTGTCACGTCTATGTATTTTCCCCTGTAAACGAATACCTGCATTTTAAATGCATTTTCAAAATGTTTCATTTGGCCATGTGATGATTATTTCCCCTGTAAAAAGCTACACGATTTTGGTCTAAGAGCAAACGAGATAGAGTATCTGGTCCATGAGAAGGCTAAGTGGAAAGATTTGAACCCTGAAGTTCGTAACCAACAACAGGACAAACCCCAATGCTACCTTGTTCAAGTAATCAACAATATGTGAGTGGAAATAAACTAGTGACCTACACATTTCTGTCTACATACCAATTTACCAACAGGAGGGGGAAAAATTGCTCAAATGTGACTCCTGTTAAAAAACATCTAAATATTAGACATAGTCTCTATTAAAATCGTAACCTATACATTCTGAAATCATTCCTTCAACTTCTATTATGTTTTTAATCTCCCCTAAACAGACCCAAAAAACAAAAAGCAGCCGTCTTTGAAATGTAAATTCCTCCCTTTTTCAAAGTAACTTGCCTAGAAAAACTTAATGCATTAAAATAAAATGTAACAGACAAACCAATTACAACATTAAAAAAAAAAAAACCTAAAATGATTAGTAACACAAACCAATCGCTCAAGTTTAGCAAAACGTGTATTTTTAACCTGCTGTGGGTTTCCTATTACACGAATAAGCAACAACCTTTAAAAGTCATCCCAATGCCTGAACCACCACCATACAGAGAACATACCTGTCCTTTTCTCCAATGAAGCTTAAACTCAGACCCAAATTCAGACCATTTCCCCCTCCTGGCACACCGAGATACACAAAGGGAAATGCAAGAAATCGGTATGTTAAGCGCCAGTACCTTCTTCCAGAGTAGGATCAAATTCGTGTTTGCCCGCAAACCGTCCCGGGAAGTCTGCAAATTCTCACTAGCGCTGGAGCACAAAGGAAACACCTGTCCTAGCACCAGGAAGACACTGGGAGATGCAGCGCCCCTGAGTCTGCGCTGTTCCCAAAGCTTCGGCTGCAGGGATGGGGGGACAAGAGGTGGCCGCTGGCCTCGCGGGTGCAGCAGACAGGGTGCCACACCCCCAGCCCACGTCCTGAGAACCAGGAAACCCGTCGGGCTGGCCGGGACCCACCCCCCTTAGACCCTCGCTCTCCAGCCCAGCGCGGCATCCGCCCGACCACACCCCGCCCTCCACCTCCAGGCCGGGGCTCAGGCCGCCCCTGGGGCAGGAACGCCCAGCCGCCGCCCCCGCCACGCCGGGCCGCAGCCCCGACCCCGTTCCCCGCGCGGCGCGGTCCCAGCTCCCGGCCCACTCCCCAGTGGCTACCTGGAGGCAAGGGCGGCGAAGCACTTCACCCAAGGCCCCAGGTCGCAGAGGGCCGGGGGCTCGGCGTCCCGCGCCTTCTCCCGCTCCACGTGGTAGGCGCAGCTGGAGAGCCGAGCCCAGCGGAGCACAGGGCGGCCGGGACACCCGCTCCCGTCGCCGCACCCACACTCTCAGGAGGCCGGGCGCCGCCGTTTCACCGCTCCAACGCCACCGCCTCCTTCCGCCGCCCCGCCACACCCCATTGGCTGAGTCGCTTGCTCTGCGCCTGCCCCACAGGCCCCGGGCCCAACCGCCCCAAAAGGAGGCGGGCGATCAGGGAAGGTGCGCACGGGCACGGACGGGGTGGAGCGCGCAGCCGCCCAGGACGCTGGATTGGCCGGGGGAGACTGAGGCGGCGCACGTGCAGGGCGGGGCCGGGGTGAGGGGTGGGACCGGGAGGGAGGGACTTAGAGGAGCGGTTGCCAGGCACAGGTACAAGGATCCCACTGTGGGTGAGCCCTCGGCCCCTCCCTCTGGGATGGCAACCAGTTGTCACCCTTTTCCCTGTTTCGTCATCACTTGCTATTTCTGATACAATCCAAATCACCTCTGGCCAATACTTGGGGCTCCTAAGTCACCCTCCTATGACCTGATCTTCCCACCACCACCTCCAGGCACTTTGTGTTCAACCTGTGAAAAACTTTTTGTTTTATGTGCAAAACCAGGCACAGTGGCTCACGCCTGCAATCCCAACAGTTTGGGAGGCTGAGGCAGGTGGCTCACTTGAGTTCAGGAGTTTGAGACTAGCCTGGCCTACATGGTGAAACCCTCCGCCTCTAGTAAATAAGATAAAATAAAATAAATAATTAGCCAGGCATGGTGGTGTGAACCTGTAATCCCAGCTACTTGGGAGGCTGAGGCAAGAGAATCACTTGAATCCAGGAGGCAGAGGTTGCAGTGAGTGGAGATGGCGCCACTGCACTCCATCCTGGGCCATAGAGTGAGACTCTAAAAAAAAAAAACAAAAAAACACCCCCCCCCCCCAATTTACGAATGCCTAGCTTCTCTGTAAGCTGAATTTGAGGTGGCTTACCATAATTCGTATCATACAGAAAAATATAGATGAGCTAATAAAATCAGTACCAAGAAAAGGAAAAGGCGCTGGCCCAGGCGCTGTGGCTCATGCCTGTCATCCCAGCACGTTGGGAGGCCAAGGCAGGTGGATCACCTGAGGTTGGGAGTTCAAGACCAGTCTGACCAACAAGGAGAAAGCCTGTCTCTACTAAAAATACAAAATTAGCTGGGTGTGGTGGTGCATGACTGTGATCCCAGCTACTACTCGGGAGGCTTAGGCAGGAGAATCCCTTGAACCTAGGAGGCAGAGTTTATGGTGAGCTTCGCTACCGCACTCCAGCCTGGGCAAGAAGAGTGAAACTTCATCTTGTTTCAAAAAAAAAGTCAGAATAAAATGAAAGGCCAGGAATAAGAACACAGATAAGGAAGTCATAGGGGCTTAGACAGTAATTAAAATTGGGTCATACATTTGGCTCTGAGCTTCCTGCT